AGAGCCTCCCCCCCTTCCACCCTCCCCCCTCAACCACGGCTACCACCCGGCACACACGTACAGACAGACACGACGCAGACACAGCCCCCCGGACACTTAAGTCACCCAGTTAGCCAGCCAGATACCCAGCCATCGATTGATTGATTGATCGCATGGCGGCAATGCCACTCACTGCCACTGCCGCTCTCTCACACGAAAATACCAACACACCAAGCAACTCAATCAGCCCACTGTGCATCATCATCTCAGCCGGCCAGCCGTCCATGCATCCATCCCGCGGTGTGTGTGCGCGTGTGTCTGTGTGTGTGCACTGATGTCCGCCACTGGCCACTTCTCAATTGCCCGTGCCGCTCAGACGATCCTGCCGACAAGAGCTGATGAGAAGCGGCTATTTGAGACATCAGCACGAAGAGAGACACACACTCGCCACCCACTGCAGGCAAACAGGAAGTAATACGTCGTATACAATATATAAAAACACCCACCCCATCCCACCTCTGGCACCCCAGTACCATCCCCCATGCGAATCATCCATCCCCCACCCAATACCTGCCGCCCTCCCTCCCTGATGGGCCTCCTGGTCATTCCCTCCCCAGCAGCTTCATGAGCGTGTCGAACTCTGTCGCGGCGATGGGCCGGCCGCCGCGGGCCTGCTCGATCGAGTGCACGATGGACGACAGACTCGACAACGGATGCTGCGTGGGCGCCGCTGGACCTGATGCTGCCGATGGGACTGGTGACGGTGGTGCGGGTGATGGTGATGGTGCTGGTGGCGGGGGCGAACGACTGCCAGCGCTGCCACATCTGGAGGAGGAGACACATGCATGAAGACAAGTGGATCGATGCGCATGGCATGGGTGGGTGGTGACACTTACGAGGGAGGTGCTCTCATGGGGGGCGGCGGTGGCAGTGACGGAGTGTAGCCAACACCACCACCACCACCACCACCAGCAGCACCAGCACCAGCGTGAGCCTTGCTGGGCCGCTCTGCGCCGGTCTTGGAGTACCTGCACGCACAATTCATTCCTTCATGAGTGTCGAAGGTCTCTGATGCGTGTGTGTGTCGCATACCAGTGCGGGAGCTCGGTCATCTGTTGGGGTATGTCCTGCGTCTGTGGCGCAAGCTGCAGGATGGTCGCCGCGTTCTGCTCGAACTGCGCCGCCGCCGCGGCCAGCTGCTGCTTCAGCGACGAGACCTCCCTGTTGGCCTGGTCATACTCCTCCTGCAGACCCCGCACGCACTCCTCCATACCTGCACTCACTCACAGACATCTCATCTCGCATCACACAGACCTTCGCGCATCTGCAGGTGCATCCGTGTCCTACCGAGCACATCGTCCTTGACGTCGTCCAGAAGGTAGAAGTGGTAGCACGACGCCGACTGGTCTGGCAGGCGCACTGCACGGTGCTCGGGGGGCACATCGGTGAAGAACCAGTCGGTCTCGAAGAGCTTCTCGCCGGCCGCTGACGCAGCTTCCCCTCCGCCATTGCCATGTGCTGCGGCTGCTGCTGTGTCTGTGGTGCGGGAGGACACGAACCGACGGCACACAAACTGGGGCACATTCTGACAACCACAATCACACACGCACACATTCACAGCTGCATCATTCGATGAGGGTGCGCAGACTCACCTCGATCACCCGCTTGAAGCGCCCTCTCCTGCCGGCGGCCGCGTTGCCCCCTCCATTTCCCCCCCGCCCCCTAAAGTTGTTGACGGGCGGCTGCGCGTATCCCCTGTGCGAATGCACATGCGCATGCGCATGGGTGTGTGCCTGCGGCGATCTGCACATGTGAGGGTATGTGTGGGCGTGGTGCCAAGGAGGATTGTGGTGCCTGGTCGTCCCGGGGGCAGACGGAGGCGACGGGGCAGACGGAGGCGACGGGACGTCCAGCGCATACGAGGGGGCTGCATGAGGGAGGACACGCAGTTACACAAGAGAGGAGAAGGAAGGCGTTCCATGGCGTGTCGCAGGCGCGTCATCAAAGCAGAGCAAAGAGGGTTCTGTGCCTTCGTACGTGGGTTAGGCAGGCTGATCATCCGTTTGGGAGATCTGGCTGGCGGGGGTGGGGGGATGGGCGACGCAGGCAACTCGGGCGGCTCATCTGCGATTCCACCAACAGACATACCGCATGTCTGTCTGTGCACATGGCTCACACGAGGGCCTCTCTCTCTCGCTCACCGCTTTGCTTCCTCTCGACGAAGACCTTGCTGCTCCACAGCTGGCCACTCGGCATCGACGGACAGCGATTGATGTCGTCGCACAGTGATGGCGCGTCGGCGCCCTCGTCCAGGAAAGACAGCAAAGCCTTCGGCAAAGGCGCAAAGTCACTTGGGAACTGCAAACAACCAACAACACAGTAGACATACACCCAGATCACTCGTGACGGTCCTGATTTGCGTGTCGTCGGTCTGCCTCACCTCGGTGTCGCTTCCGCCCTTGCGTGGGGGTGCGTCCATCACCGAGCAGGGCGATGACGGACAGCACGTCGTGAGGCTGGTGAGGCTCCGCGGACTACCCCGGACAAGGCACGATGGCTTCATACACACAACCGACGACAGACGACCGGTGGAGCCACACAGCACACTCACTCAGCTAAAGCAAGGAAGACAGAGTGTTGCGGGAGAGGAGGAGAGGGAGGGAGGGAGGGAGGTGCCTTCTGTTCAGGCACGTCCCGCAGGCAGGCGCAGGCACGCAAGCAGCCAGCGACAAAGGGCTTGCACACGATTGGTGTGACTGAAAGGCCCGGCGTACCAGATCTGTCAACCAAAGGGGCGCAAAAATCTCTCGAGAGGTGCGAGCTTTTAGTGGATCGCGGATGCGTTTTTGCAGTGGGGCTCAGCTCGCGTGACGAAGTTTCTCCCCATCGTCAGATAGTTGTCCTGACCTGACCGAACAAGGCTAGGCTCTCTGTCATCTCTTTCCTAGTGTTCCCATTGACACCATCATGTTGAATCGGTGTACTGCGGTTTTGGTGCTTCTCTGTGTGGCGTCAGCCTGTGGTCAAACGGAGACAAGACACGCAGAACAGGTATGCCCACACTACTCGTGCCCACACGCCATCACTCACTCACTTATTTGATGCTGTGATGTGCATGGCTGCCTGGTGTGTTCAGGTCCGTTTGCGTGGCCTGCAGGTGACCCCGCCCAACGGCACATCGCTGTCTGCGTCTGAGTATGAGGGGCTGCTCGGCCTACTGGGGGGCAATGGCGCCACACGACTCATCTCACTCTACCGGTAGACACACATCATGCCAACAGTGCTGGGATGGATCATGTGTCCGTCTGTGTCTCTCTCTCTCTCTCTGTGTGTGTGTGTGTGTAGGACGTCTGTGCATGGCACCACCTACGGCGACCTGCTGGACAATGTGGGAGACACAAAACCTCTCGTGTTTGTGGTCAGGAAGGACAAGTATGTGTTCGGTGCCTTCATCAGTGAAGGCATCCAGCTGCCCGACGACCCGACCAGCAGTCACGTTTACGACAGTGATGTGGGTTCTCACTGGCCAGCTCTCACTGGCCGGCCACTTCCCCAAGCCGATCAAGATCTCTGTGAGTCAGTATGTGAGGGAGCCGGGGAGGGTGGGGACGATAGATGAGGATTTGTGGATCGGCGGGCAAGGGTGGTCTGGTGGGGCTCTGTCGCTGGGTATACCAACCGACATCCGCATCTGCAGTCAGTTCACTCCCAGCAAGTATGTGCCTGCGGGCTACATGGGTAAGAGATTTCAGTTGGATGGCGATGCTTTCTTGGGTGGGTCGTACGAGTTTATGGCTGACGAGATTGAAGTGCTGCAGGTGGTGCAGTGAGGGATGGAGGGAGAGAGGGAGGGAGAGAGGGGATGTGCCCTTTCCCTCTCCCTATGGTTCTGTCCACAGAGAGAGGCAGTGATACATCTGCCGTCCTCTGTGCCTGTCTGTCTGTCTGTCTGTTGTTATCTAAGTCGAGTGCTTTGCCGGCACACTGCTGGTGCCCCCGTCTGTGTGTATGTGCGGTATTTTGGGGCGTGTTGTCATATCCTGCCCTGAGGTCTTTTTGTGATAAGTGCGCGAAGTGGGCCTGCGAATTTCTTCTTTCTGATAAGCCTGTCTGTCTGTTTGCCTCGGCGTGGTTATGTTTGTTGAGGGATGACAGTGAGTGTCTATGTGGCTCGACAGGCAGACGAACGAGTGAACACTCAGGGATTTCAGTTCAAATCAAATGCCGTGCGTCGCGAAAGGCTGTCTGTGCCAAATGGCCGAGGAAAAGCACACGGACACCGAGGAAGCCCTACCACAAAACACCACACACAGCCAACCGCCCTCTATCTGTCTGTCTGTCTGTCTGTCAGCTGAGTGCAACTGATTTGCCGGCACACTGCTGGTGCCCCTGTGTGTGTGGGTGTTGGTGTGTCTATTTGTTGATCAGTGTGTCTGTGTGCGGTGAATGCCTATGTGTGCACGTGCGATTGTCTGTGTGTGTCTCACTTTGCCCATGTCTCGCCCCCTGACTTGCATACTCAGGCCCTTTGTAGCAAGACGTGGCCTGTTGTGTGGTGTCCTTTGTCCAAGTGCACGCAACACGCGACCGCGACACGCAACACCCACTCATAGTTCTCCTTCTATCGCCCATGTAGCGAGTCGACTAGGCCAAGGCCTCCATCCATAACGTCCCGCTCAACGCCAACCCGCCTGAGCACCTGACGGAAGAGCGGCATCGATACGGGGAAACGCGCGTCGAGTGAAGACGATGATGCATCGGCGGCAGGCGGCTCTGTCGTGGTGAGACGGACGAGTCCATAGCTGTCTGTCTCTATGTGGGCAGCAACTGTGTCATGAGAGCGGAAGCCACTCACGATCACAATGCGGCAGTGCTGTCGCAGTGTTCCGTATCCAAGAGAGGGAGGTTTGCTGCGATAGTCCACAGCAATGCCGTCCTCGCCAGTAAAGTCCGCATCCAGTAGAGGGCGAAGGCGACTGCCGTCGGTGAGTCTGTGCAGAATCGCCTTGTGTCCGGACCACCGTAGGAGCAGCTTGCACAGGAGAAAGGCCGAGAAAGAGGGGAAGACATTCAGGACATCGCAGCGGGAATTCGGATAATCAAAGTAAGGACACTCGCGAATGTCTTGGATGGCAGGATCGTGTTCGTTGCTATGGCTATCAGCGGAGGAATCGGCGTTCAAATCCCACGAATGATCATCCCGCCACGGCACACGGAAGTGCTCACGCTGTATCAGATACTCTGTCGGCGTACAGCACGCCTCAAAAGGGGACGCCTTCTGTTTTTGTCGCATCGCGAGGCTGTCTCCTTTGTATCTCAGTCGGTGTCCGATCAGAGACGAGTAAAAGGCCATCATGAGAGGAAGCACCTTCTCAGAAGCCATCACCGTCTGAGCCGACAGCACGATTGGAAGCACCTTCTCGTCTGCACCCGTTGTCGGCTGGCAGAACCACCGGGGCCGCGCTGGACAGAAGAGCCGACTGATGACGGCGATCCTGAGAAACACCCCCATGGTCCGCCACCCGGTGCCGCCCTGCTCCAAGAAAAGACACCACCGTAGGAAGTAGCTGAATCGGCTTGGACGGCCACACATTCGGCGGGCCCACGGAATCAAGTTGAAGCCGCAGACAAGGCCATACCTCCGGTCGATGTCGATGACGCCACACAGCAACTTGTGATCGAGGAAGGCGTCAATGCGCCCCAACAACACCTCAGCCGTGACGAGGGACGTACCCAATGCGCGGCAAGTGTTCCGCAGGGAGGCCACATCGGCAATTGACAGGCATGCCACCACTCGTGTACGCCACACCTCCACCGGCACCGAATACGCCATCGCCATCAGAGCTCTTGCCGACCACCAGGATTTAGGGTATTGGAGTTTCGTGAAACCGCGATGAGACGATCAGGAGCGGGAGTTTGCGCTACCGAACACGAACGGGAGCGGTTGCGGCTTCTCCGCTTGAGATCTACCATTCGGTGAGATCTCCTATCCTCTTGTGCTGCCTGTCTGCTGCCATTGACCTCATCTGGCTGGCTGCCTCTGACTGACCTGACCAAACAAGCCAGACGCTCTCACTGTCTTTCCTCTGTCTGCTCCCGGTCACGTGATGGCGAGCGTCGTGCTGCTCATGATGCTTCTGTGGACCTGTGTTGGCACGGAGGCAAGACCCACAGGCGGTGGGCGACGAAAGGAAGGAATACAGCGATCGGATGATGTGTGCGTGTCCCTGTGTGTCGTGCAGGCACGACTGCCAACGAGTCAACGAATGCCGACGGCCGGCTGACTTCCACCGATCAGATGATGTCCACCGGGAAGGCCCTCGACGCCATCCAGATATTCGACTTCCTCGATGTGAGCCAACTCCTCCCCTCCCCACCATCTCTCTCCCCTCTCTGACTGACTGCGTCTGTGTTGGTCAGATTGACTTTGCTGATCTGTACAAGGTCGAGGCCGTCTACCTGGAGTTCATGACCACGTCGGGCGAGCGGATTGAGCACTTCTACAAGATCGCACACGTGTCGCGCAACCGCGACGCCCGCTTCGTGGAGATCAATTTCGAGAGCGGCGAGTTCATGACCATGTCTGAGTACGGCGCCAACCTGTACGCGGCCGGCGCCACAGAGGAGGGCGACACCATCGCCGTCTTCAAGGGTGAGTAGTCTGGAAGGGAGCCAGGAAACACATTGCATCCGTTTCGTCTTCTCCCTGTGTGTGCTCAGGTCCTGCGTTCCAGGAGGGAGCGAGCAACGAGGAGAACATGCTGGTCAACGAGACCGTCCCGGCGGGACTGCGGCAGCTGCAGGTGCTGACACACGCATGACTCACTCACTTATTTGATGCTTTGCCGTGGTGCGTGGTGTTCAGGTCCACTTGCGTGGCCTGCAAGCCTCTCGGCCGAACGGCACGTCACTGTCTGCGTCAGAGTATAAGTCGCTGCTCGGCCTGCTGGGCAATGACACCACAGAACTGACCTCACTCTACCGGTAGACACACATCATGCCAACAGGGCTGGGATGATGTGGAGCTAATGGGCAGATTCCGTCTGTGTATGTTGTACGTTGTGTGTGTAGGATGTCTGTGCATGGCAGCAGCTATGGCGATCTGCTGGACCGAGTGGGCGACGCGAAGCCTCTCGTGTTTGTTGTCAAGAAGGACAAGTATGTCTTCGGCGTCTACATCAGTGCCGGCATCCAGCCGCCCGACGACCCGACCAGCAGCAACGTCTACGGCAGTGATGTGTGGTGGTTCTCACTGGCCGGCCACTTCCCCCAACCGACCAAGATCGACATCGACCGAGCGGAGCAGGCTCTGATGGTGGGGGGGAGGAAGGGGAATGCGAATGGTGCGAACATGGGGATCGGTGGGACTATTCGTTTCGGTGATGGCGGCACTGTCGATGGCCAGCCTGCTGCCGACATCCGCAGCTGCCATCAGTTGACCCTCGGCGACTATGTGCCTGAGGAATACACGGGAGTGAGGGATGAGTATGGCGACGTTGTGTTGGGCGGGTCTGATGACTTCATCGCTGACGAGATAGAAGTGCTCGAGGTATGAACACGACCCATTCACTCATTCGATGCTTTGGCTGATTGTGTCTGTGTTCAGGTCCCTTACACCCCCGTACCGAGTCTCCCGCCACCCAGCGGCACATCGCTGTCTGCGTCAGAGTATGAGGGGCTGCTCGGCCTACTGGGCAATGCCACCACACGGCTCACATCACTCTACCGGTAGACACACATCACGCCAACAGTGCTGGGATGATGTGTACCTTCTGTGTGTGTGTGTGTGTGTGTGTGTGTAGGACGTCTCTGCACGGCACCACATACGACGACCTGCTGGACCGAGTGGGCGACGCAAAGCCTATCGTGTTTGTTATTCGCGCGAACAAGTATGTATTCGGCGCCTTCATCAGTGAAGGCATCCAGCTGCCCGCCGACCCCACCGACACCAACTTCTACAGCTGTGATATTTTCTCACCAACATCTTGTGCTGTGTGGCATTTCTCACTGGCCGGCGACTTCCCCCGACCGACCAAGATCGAGTTTGATCGGGAGCATCAGTCTGTGTGGGTGGCGGGGAGGGAGGGGAGTATATTGAGGGATGGGGAGCGGGGAGGTATAGAGATCGGTCGGGATCTGTGGTTTGACCAGCCTGCTCCCGACATGCGCAGCTGCGTTCAGTTCACTCCCCCCGAGTATGTGCCTGAGTCCTACACGGGCGAGAGGGATGAGTTGGATGACGATGGTTGGTTGGGTGGGTCGATTAGGGTCATGGCAGACGAGATAGAAGTGCTGCAGGTGGGGCAGTAGGTAGGGAGGGAGGGAGATATTTGTCTCTATCGTGCTGCACTGACATAAGTGGGTGCGTTCCATTTATCTGTACCGTCCTCTCTGGGCCCCTGCCTGTCTGTCTGCCTCTCATCTCACTGTAACTGCTGGTGCACGTGTGTGTGTGCGCGTGTGTGCGCGTGTTGGCGTATTTATTCATCAATCAGTGAAGGTGTCTGTGCGGTGGCTGGACCTGCGGGTTTATCGCTCTCCTGCTATGATGTGTGTCTCTCTGCGATTGAGTAGATGACCTTGCGTGTGGTCGACAGGTAAAATCGCTGCAATGGTGTCATAGCAAGGCGTCGTTGGTGGCGGCAGCGAGTGAATCGGTGTGGTTGGGTCACCATGTGTGGACCACACCTCTGTGTGTGTGGTTGCGGTGGGGTGTGTGGTGTGTGTACTGATTTCTATGTCATCTTTGGTACCGAACCAGACATGAATGCGTTGAATGAGTTGGCCCGTACACAATTACTGCCGACTCTTTCCTTTGGCTGTGGCCCAGAGATATGCACAGATGTCAATAAAGTCTTGTCCTTCAGAAAATGCCAGTCAATCGCATACACAGACTTGCACACACACATGCACACTGTCTGTCCGTCCCGCTGCCGCCGCGCTAGCTACCGCCGACAGTTTGTCTGTCTTGCCGCCACTCGCATTAGCAAGTGGGGCACGCTTCTAGATATGTCTCGCGCTTAGGCGCGGGCCTGGAACTGCACCTTGGCGCAGCCGACTCCCTTGGCCTGGGCCCTCATGCTGCTGGCGCACTCCTCGACGGTCAGCACCGTGCCCGTGAGGTCGCGGACGCGGGCGGCGGGGGGGGTGTCTGTCAATCGCCTGAGATACACACACACATCAGTGCGGCCGCTGCATTATGTCCCTGTCTGTCTGTGTGTGTTACTTGGCGGCGATGTCTCCCATGTAGATGACGGCCATGTGCGTCTTGTCGCCGCTCATGAACACCTCAACGAGAGGCATCTGTGCCTCGCCCGTCAGGCCCTTAAGGCGATGTAGGTAGTCAGCCAACTTCATCTGCACGCAAAAAAAAAAAAAAAAAAAAAAAAATGGACGATACAAATCATCTGACACACATACGGCGCCTCAGCCATCGCGTACCATGCTGCCATCGCCCATTTTGTCGAGGCATTATGTCTCGCTGCTGTACTCTTGGCCCCATGGCATGTCGAAATGGATGGCCGCGAACTTCGTGCCCTCCCTGGCCCACCGGGCTGCCAGCTTGGCCACCCTCTTGAAGTAGTCGCCGCAGCGTATGAAGAGGCGCTCGAGGACTCCCACCCCTGCACACACACAACGCAGCAATTTGGCAGCAATATTGCATATGGATATGTCGTGACATGCGCCACCCATTGCCGTGCTCCTGCCGATGTTCGAACCGTGGGCACTGGCGTTATGTTTGGTGTGTTCGACATTGGCGGCGTCGATGTCGCACGCATAGACCGTCAGGCCCGCAGCCAACAGCGAGGCGGTCTGGCCGCCGACACCGCAAAATGCGTCCAGCACCGTGCCCACGCCCAGGTAGGTGATGATGGTGGTGGTGATGCAGTCGGCGATGAAGCGCGGCGTGATGCTTTTGCTGCATTCATCATGCGGAAGAAATGGATAAGTCAATGCGGGCAACGCAAACATGCGTGAATGCATCACAAGGTCCTCTCCCCCCATACCGCATGTTGGGGTTGTACTTGACCTTTCGCCAGATCTTTCCCCGCAGCCATTCGTTGGCCGTCTGCATAAACACATCCAATGCATCAGCCACCGCACATGCATTCGAGAACCCACAGACGGCCAGTCGTGTCTCAGATGCACTGGGGCTGGTGTAGCTGTACCCTTGTGTGTGGGCAACTCGTGATGATGATGGTCACCAGCCCCACAATGCACTCGGCACCGACGGCGGCGCCCTCACCAAGCTCCTCGGGCATGGCGGGCATCTTGACGATGACGACAGAAACACGGGCAAGGTGCAGCCGGGGGACTGCCGCCCTGCAAAAACCTTGCCGGGTGAGGAGACGATTTGAGAGGTCAAAGAGAGAGGGAGAGGTGTGGAAAAGAGCTTCAGAGCAGGAGCAGGGGCAGCGGCTGATCGAAGGCTTGGGGGCTTTGCATGCATTTCGTTTCGCGAACGCGAGTCCCGCCAGCCCGACGAAGGAGGGAAATTTCATCTCGCATCCTCTCTGAGATCTGATCCGCCACACTGGCAGGGAGAGGACCCGCCATTTACGGCGAAATCGAGGCAAACACGACTTGAGAATAGCTTTAAGGTACGAGTTGTCAAAAAAGACTGACTTCCTCTCTGGCCGTATGTATGGCGAATGAGAGTGACGCAGACACGCCAAAGTGGATCGATCACACGCATCGATGTGACCTCTTTCCCTAATGACAAAAGTCCCCTCATCAACGCACACACACACATACTTAGACAGACACAGACGAGGCAGGTTTCGCTCGGCTCGGCCCTTCGGGCCTCGCCTTTGCATGAGTGACACACACACACACACAGTCACTCCGATCACACGCATCGATGTGACCTCTGTTTTTCCCTGACGACAAAAGTCCCCTCATCCGTCAACACACACACACACGCCCCCGTCTGTCTGCATCATTCGCCAATGTCTATTCTGCCTCGGACACATTTGTCGAGTGCATTGGCATCTTGGCTGGTGAAGATGCACGTCTGGTAGAAGGCGGGGAACGACACACCGCCGTCGCGATGAGACAGCCACGCGCTGCAGTGAAAGCACACACCAGTTCAGAGGGATGGCCGGCTGTGTGTCCATCTACTTCTATGTGTGCGTGTGCTGTAGCTGCATCCATCTGTACTACTTACTTGTATGTGTGTGCATCGGTGGATATGTTCCGCATGTAGCGGGTGATAGATGAGACGCTCATATCCCTCACACCATACGCCTCCTAATGGATACACACACACAGACACACACACACACACACATACACGCACACGCACACACACAGCACGGCGTCAAGATCACCGCTCTCTTGCTCATATAGTCGCTTACCGTGAATGAGTACTCTCTCTGCCATTGCAATGACTGCCCGAACGTGCCCAGGGCGTCGACTGTGCCATAGAGTGGCGCCACATAGGTGTGCATGTCACGAATGCCGATTTGGCTGGGCATGTTTGTGCGAAAGGGGAAGACTCTGTAGGAGGGGTTGTTGGTGTAGACGGGCGACACAGAGGGGGCCGTGTACATGGGCACAGGGGGATTGGGGTAGAGAGAGGTGATGTCCTTGTGCAGGTGGCCGGCCAGCAATGCGAGGATCGTCATGTTGTGGGCCGATACGATACGCAGGAACCTATGTGTGTATGGGCAACACACAGACACAGCCAGAGAGACAGTGCATGTGTGTCTTATGTATGTACGTGTCTACCTGTCAGCATAGTGCTGGTGCCACTCCTTCTCGCTGGTGAATTTGCCGCTGATCTGGGAGAGGGCGAATCCCATAGGGATGTGCAAGGCCATAATCACCTACACACACATGACGACGGACGGACGTCTGCAGACTTTCTTGTGTGGTCTGCTATGGTGTGGTCACTCGCTGACTGACCGGCAAGCCGAGTACCGCCGCTTCTTTCAGCTTGTGTTCCATCCATGCGAACTGACCACCTAGAAGAAATAAGGACACAGACGAGTACACACAGATATCATGACTGGATACCCACCGGCATTCAGCCAGCATCACTCACTCAGCAACACACGTGTGAATTGAAGCACCTGGGTCATCGTCAAACTCTGCATCGTCGCCCATTGCAGACTCCCATGCGAAGTACTTGGAGTAAAAGATCGTGTTGAGGCTCATGACGCGCACACGGCGGGATGACGGACCCACACCCACAGCCACATCGACCGAGTAATACGCACCCCTCAGGAACCCCTGGACACACACATCGAATCGACATGACATCAGACATACACCCCCATTTCCATGTGCACCTGTCGTGTGTGATCATCATTCGGCATATCGGCTTCCCATATTCGCCACAGCTCATGAGTCCACTTGTATGCAGGAAGTGGCAGCTTGTAGTTGTCGTAGCAGTCGTCATTGCCCAGCACCCACACAATCGTCGTGTTGGGAAAGCTCCTCCGCACCAAGTCAGTCACGCGAGAGATCGACAGCAGCCTGCCACACACACACACACACACACACACGCACACACACATCACGCGAGCAAATGCGCACTTACAATACGTACCAACGTGAATTCGCTTTGTGTGCACCTGTGTTCTTTCCCAAGAGAGTGAGCAGCACTATCACCGCTGACGATCACAAATGCAGGCGACGGCCACCTCTCCCGCGCATCGGCCAAGACGCTCTCCAGCAGCGGCATCGGGCTGTCGCATCCGTAGCGGCCGAAGGCAGCCACAAACGGCCACACATAAGACGATGACGCATTGTCTGGGATCACCTGCTGCTGCCGTGTGCGGCAGTACTGCTGGGGTGGGGTGTGTGGGTCATAGAGGGGGTCCAGGTGGATGTCAGTCAGCTGAATGAAGTAGTAAAGATGGCCTACTGATGGTCCTCCTCCTGCTGCTGCTGCTGCTGCTGCTGCTGACGGGTGATGCTGCCTCATCTTCAATGAGGGAACAGCCCTTGTGTAGCCCTCTCGTTGCCATGATTGCCGTGGGGGTGGGCTATCTGCTGGCCTCCGTAACCAATCCACCCCGCTCATGAAAGCCATGCCGAGCAGAAAGGCGGCCGTGAGGGAACCGAACCACACGAGTGCTGACTTGTGCCGCTGCAGCTGCTGCTTTCCAGAGTCTTCATCGCGAGAAGAAGCGCCGCAGTCCAGCTCACAGTCTGTGGTTCCAGCTGCCGTGGTGGATGGGCTCAGGAGCTCACGCTCTTCTGAATCGTTGGCGGCCGAGTGCATCATCATCGACACAGAAGGTCTTCTGCCGAATAATAAAAGCCAAGAACCTCGCTCTCCTCCCTGGGTCACTCCTGCCGCACACACACACACACAACCCATAGAACACAACGCAATCACAGGCACTGTCATCGCTTGGTGATGCACACACACAGTTTTGCTCTCAGCGCACCTCAATGGACCTCCATGAGTCGGGGTAGCGTCGCAAGAGGAGATGATGAGCGGTGCAAAGTGATCGATATCATCTCAGAAGCATTTGGCGCCTCAATGAGGGCCTTTGCAGTGCCGTGCTTTGTCGTCGTTGGGAGAAGCGGAAGGAAGGGTCACTCATCGTTGCGAGCTTGCACTGCGACCCCACAGCTGCGACCCTTCCTTGGTTGAGTTCATTGCCATGAGCTTTACGCTTTATCGAAGTGCCTGACTCATCTAGAGTGTACGCAGTCGCGGCCGGTGGATGAGCCGCACACTTCCATCCACTCATCCATCCCCCCACCCAGACTTGCTGTCTGTTCGTCTTGTCGGTCAGAAGCATGAAATGAAAGACAGCAATGAACACCTTGCATACACACACACACATACACACATCCGTACCTGTCTCCCAACACATAGCCAGCCAGCTGCCACAGACATGCACTCGTACAGTCACCTTCTGTCCATCCACACACACACACACACAGAGAGAGAGAGAGAGAGAGAGAGACTAGAACAAATACCTTCGTGCGCATGAGCAGTGGGCATGCAGCCTGAGAGTCATGCAGTGACCAGTAAACGAGTACCCACAGAAAAAGCTGTTCATCCAATTCCTTTCTAAACTCGCCAGGAGCTATGTAAACTACGCCTCAACGGGCCGGTTCGTCTCACCCCCCGGTGCCGATGCGTCCCCCTGTGAGTCTATCTGTCGCTTCAGATGCGCCTGACAGCGGCATGAGCCGCAAAGAGTGTGCGTACGACCAGCCCTCGCACCCACTGGTCATTGAAACCCTTATACCCACGTGCAGTCAGAGCAGCCTTGACCTGTCCATAAGCAGAGAGGGAGGTAGGGAGGCGGGCAAGGACACACACACACGACACACACACACACACACACAGAGGACAGACGCCATATGCATTGGATTTGTAGAGCGGCCGTGTGGTTAGCTGACCGATCCCTCCTTGTCGACGATGCACATGTCGGGCCCTCTCCGCTCGCGGAGTATCCACTCCTCGTGTGCCGATGACGCAGGCGCCTTCTGTGCCTCCGTCAGCTGTCTGGCGATGGGCGTGACGATGTCCAGCAGCTGGGCACTCGTCAGGTTGGACTTGCGCGGCGGCGCCTCTGCAGCGGCCACCACCAAACTCAACGCATCTGTGTGTGGTCCACACATACAGGCAAAAAGGGCACTCAGCCACACTGTGTGTTTGTGTGTGTTGCATCTGTCTGACCTTGGTTGTCGAGCCCCATGTGCTGCAGAAGCCTCCCGCGCTCCACCAGCAGGCCCCTGCCGTCGTCACCAAGGTCCAACATGACCTTTTGGCGCACACACGGAGGCAGCAAAGCAACAGGGGCTGTGTACTCGTCTGTCTGTGTGCTCTTGCTTGACACCTGGGGGCACAGGTAACAGAGGTCGTAGTGCCTGCCGACCACCAGAGATGCGCGAACGGGGTAAGATGCACTCTCCTGCAGATATCGACACACACGCATGCCCACATCTATCCATCCATCCGTCCATCAGGTGCGCTGATTGATGTGTCATGCATCGCCCACCGAACCGACCGCAATGTAGCAGCACTGATGGCTGGCAGTCCCCCCTGCCTTCATGTGGGGGATCCTCAGGGCGTCCAACGACTGCAACACGGCAACGCATACATACACACGCACACACACACACACACACACCAATGCGTCTCTCTCTCTCTCTGTGTGTGTGCGTGCCATCTGTGTGTGGTACCTTCATGATGTGCTCCGCGATGGCCAGCTGTGCAGCGAACACGGCACCGTTCCCGCGGCAGCGCGTGGACACTGAGCAGACATCGCGGGTGCCTGGCTTCTCAAACTCGCTCTCAAACACGACCGACTGCACACGAAGGCATCATACATATATAGTCGAAAGGTTGGCTCTGTGTGTGTGTTGAAGAATGGGTTGACTCGACTCGCTTCCCCACCGGCTTGATGCGGAATTTGTCCATGAACATGGTGAGTCGGTTGCAGGCCTTGACCACCACCGTCATGAGCTCTTTCTTGTCCTCAATGATCCGACGATAGCACTTGCCCTCTGCAGCCTGCACGCATACACAACCACAGACAGACAGACAGACAGACCGACAGATGTTGCCGCTCTGCGGGGCGCCGTGCTCTGCTCTTTTCTCACCACGTGGATGACCTCTGAGCCCTGGACGAAAGACCAAGGACAACAAGCGTGTGTGCGCATTTGCCTGTCAGTGCAGTGCACAGCGGCTGCTTTGCTTTGCTTACGTGGAAGCAGACGTTCTTGCCCCTGAAGTCCTCGAGGCTGCCAGGGACGCCAGCCGCCTTGAACTTGGCAAGGATATCGTCGTTTTCTGCCATGTGGTGCTCCTTCTACTCTCGCCGTTTCTGGCAGTCACACGGAGCCGAACCTACACGTGAAGCGGAGGTGACTCTTCTCTACCTTGGCGAGAGAAGCAGCTTTGACTCCTTGCACTAACACACAACGGCTGCGAGGGGAAAAGACCCCCCCATGCCGCCGGGCCGCCCGCAGTCTTCCCGTCAAAGGGTATGATGCGCCAGTTTCGCAGGTCGTGTACACGGCTATGCACATACAGTGTCAGTCTGCAGATGAACACGCCATGCATGCACCATCTTCCATTGGTCAGCCGTGAGTCAGTCAATCACCGCCAGCCTGAGGGTGTCTGTCTGTGTTGTGCAGCGTAGCTATGGTGGTGGTGCATCTCGTTGACGGCCCGCAGCTGAGCCGCCAGGTCGGGGTCTTGATGCGACAGAGATGGCGGCTCCCTCTCCCTCTCTCTATCCCATCTATCGTCCTTTTCTCGCCACCGCCGTCTGTCGTCGTCAAAGCTACGGTCCCGCCTCTCGCGATCGCGTGAACGCTCATACCTGCACACACACACACACACACACACACACACACGTACACATACACAAGGCTTTGCATAGATTACTGGCTGAGCAGACACATCCATGGATGCACACACACGGACCTTCTGTCGTGCCTATCTGGGTTGCGGTCATGGTGGTCGTCGGCTCGTCTGTCGTCGTGAAATGGCGATGGCGATGGGTCGGGGGGAGGGCCGCTGGGTGGAGGGGGAGGGTAGGGGG